GCAGGGATGAAGAAAAACCGTGCGAAACAGCCCATAGCCCGAGAAGTGAGGTCCCTTCTTCATTTTTGTTTTCCGCATTGATGCAATTCTCATCGGTGTTGCCGTCTCCAACGATAACGCTCTATCAACCGCTAGAGTCAGACGGCGAAGGGATGGGCAGGCAGCGGCGCGCGTGCACACCCCTAAACGGAGAGCAGGATTTTCTCAGCGTGGAGGGGACTTCATTGGAGGTGGCCTCAACTGCTGGTCCATGATCCTGTACAGTTCACTCGACATCTTTTGGACGGTAATTTTCACCAAGATTTACAGGAGCGCCAAAAATATGGGAATGAAGACATTACGTTGAAATTTGTGATTTGCCCTTACCTTTGTATACATTCTATGCTATGCCATTCTATGGAACCCATTTTTCAATCGTCAGATCTGAAATACTAGGCGACAAAATGTCGAAAGTCGACGATCCTCCTAGACACAAAAGTCGTGATTGATTCTGACCGAACCACTCTTCTTTCTAGGAGCAGGCCCTCAAATGGATTCGAGTTGAAAAATCCGGCTCCAGTCAGTACACTTTGAAGTAGAGTGGGAGGCGCAACAAATTGTACTCTGGGCGCTCTGTCAATTAAAATCAACGAGCACTGAAGAGAAGCTCTAGGAGCCGATTAAAATTCAACCGTCTAAGGTGTCTGAAACGTGACACATTCTCAAAACCCGTTGCCCGAGCTGGACTTTTCAAGCCAATACGTGTAGGTATTAGTGTAGCGCGTCTGCTTCTTAGCGACAGCAGCATTTCCGGAAGTTTCTATTCGGTGATTGAATAGACGAACTTGTGGCGTGATACAGTTGTGATACAGTGGCACATATATACAGGGGGGGGGGCAAAAAAAAGACATTTTGCCCAGGTCGCACTTCGGCCTTTTTTCGCAGAGATTGCCGTCGTTGACGGAAGTTCCTCAGCAAAATATTCCCTAAATGTCCCTCTATAAGTACACGCAGGCCCTCCTTCACTACCCTCACCGTCTTCAGAATATGACGCTTAGGGAGGTCTACAGTCTGAAGCTCTTACATAATTTCTTGGATTCAACGTGGGATAGTTTCCTAGGGACATTAGCTCTAACTATGCAAACCCCTCGGAACCCGCCCTTCGGAACCCGTCGTAACGGTACACGATCAGAGAACCCCATTGAGCTCGACCAGAGCACCATGTTTCCGGGGCAAATTTTCTGATGCCGTCCACGTAGATGGCCACTATGAAGATTTTCTTATGAAATGAAATGCGCTCTTCAATTCTAAGTTGGGAGCACACGCTTTGAGCTGAGCAAAGTGTGATTAAATCCATTTGAGTCTGGAGACAAAATGTCTTTTTTTTCCCCCCCCCCTGTATATAAAACTCGAAAGCAACGGCTTTGTACGAATTGAAACGTGTACAAGTGCTTGAACCTACTTGTATGAAAAACTCATCCAATTACTGAATACCGCTGACGAGACCAATAAACACGTTTTGGTAGATGTTGAGGTTTCATGGGAGCAGGAAGCATTTTTATGACCCATCCTTCACCCGCAAATGGCAGTGTGCGCCAGTTCATGTAGAGCATTCAAGATTTATGCTCCTCTATGAGAGACGAAGATTATACTCTTCAACGTGGTGAGTACTGCCCTACGAAGCCGTGACTTTTCTCAATATTCTTATCGGAAAAATCTCATTTTTGCGCGGTTCTTAGGAAAATAGGCTAGATCAGTATTCCCTGTCGGCTTGCAAGCTTTTTTCAACATTACGTGACTGTTTTCCACTTTCCAGCACTCTGCAAAGGCATTTAATAACAGTGCTTAGGTCCCACTTATGCATCGCTCTGACTATTTCCGAGTTTGAGCACTGGCCTTAATTATCCCATGGGGGCCCTTTGGGGCCCTTTGCTTTCACTGGTTATTAGAAGCATTGCGCCTTGGTCGATTGAGGGCCTTACCTTGCTTTACAAGGTGATTCCTTTGGCGCTGGGGAGAAATAAAGCAGAAATATATCTACACTATTTCTCGATCTTTGACGTACCCGGCTTAACTGAATTGGCGTTCCACTCCATTTCTTCGCGAGCCTAATACAAAAACTCGGTTAGGTATCTTGGTATCGACTTCACTCCAAGGCCTATTCACATTATGAAAGCCGTTGGGGGAGAATATGATGTGCATTTCCGGTATGATTCATTCCACGCCATCGCTGGGTTTTACTGAAGCTCGTTTAGAGAATATACTGTATATGCGGGATCGCGAGAGAAGCGTTTTTCGTACTCAGCATAGAACGAGTGGCATGGTAAGCATATTCCTTTCAATGAGGAAAGGCTTGTTCCTTGTGTTGGCGAAACTTTTAGGCTGAGGAAATTGCGAGATGATGGTGAGGCTTTTTTAGCCAGTGATGTAGAAACTGAAGGCGTTGGTCATTTTGCAAGCTATGTCGATTCGCCCTTCTATCGCGGTCAGGCAGGCGATAGATGCACACCATCTCCAGTATCTCACAAACTTTGTGGACATAGTGTAGTTGCTAAGCTTCTAATGCTATTATTGACTGCACTAACTTCATTAACAGGCCAACTTTTCGGTGGGCTTTCACCTTCCTCAGAGCCTGGAAAAGTCGAAAGCAATTTTGGAAACTACACGTACAAGCACTATTTCAACCAACAAAAATCATTGAATAGGGCGACGTCATGGAAGAAGATTAGAAACGAAGCTTTAGAGATGCTGACCAGAGAGGTCCACCTGCCACCCCGAGCTGGTACTAACGCGGCTTAAAAAGGTGAGGCCTTCAGTTCGTTTGCTATGGGGACCTCCGAAGGGCTGATCACGTAGAACAAATCACTCCAAAAGGACCCTCGAGGCTAGGCGCGCCGCTGAACCCCCTGAACCCTTATTATTGATTACTGTGCAGTAGCCCCCGACCCCGCCCCCGTCAGGAAGACCCCGCGGGGCATTGATCATGTAGGTCAAAAGCCACACAAGGCCGCAAAGGGTATTTTGTGGACATAAACATCCTTAACATTTTGATGACAACCTCAACGCATACGAATCAGACCTACCAGGCTGCTTGGGACACTATGACGCACGTGCGCGTCAGGCTGTAGTCAAAGTCCTTTCTTTCGCGCAGTGCTTTTTCTCCTCGTAGTTTCTGAATTTACTGCCTAGACAATACATTACATAAATTTGTCACATAAAAAAGCCGCCAGAATGTTAAACTGTGTTAACAAAAATTTTTTCAACACCTCGTAATCTTCGGCGCTAGTTCTTTTTGGTTTGCCTCTTTTCATGCCATAAACATTCATATATAAGCTTGCAGCAGAACCTGACGCAAAAGTACTAAGGATGGCAAGATACGTGATTCAAATGAATAACCAAAATGAAATATAACACTTTTCACGCCATCTACAGCAAGATTGATAATTCTTAGATGCTTCACTGTCATTGTCACTCACTTCTTTGGGCAAATTTCTATGCTATTTATTTGGATCACCACTACGATTCCATATACTGCTGAATTTACTCAGTGATATTCATGTTTTTGTGCATGTAATCCTTAAAATAATCCTATCCAGGGTAAAGCATCGCGCTCAGAATACTAGTTCCACCTCATGCTGCCAAAAGCGCCAGAGTGGACAAGGCATTGAAGGCATGGGTCGCGATCGTTAATGAGGTATTGTTTTTTTGTCTGAAAATCAATCAGAAACGTTAGAAAACACTCAAATGTATTTGGCCGCGTTCATAGTTCGCGACTCGGGAGATTAGGATAGTAGGCGACAGGATATTAGGATAGTAGTAGAGTAGGAGATTGCGCTGACAAGATTGGATACGTATCGATTGAAATCGCTGGAGAGTAGTAGATTGGGCGACTTCAAGCGAATAGATCAATACATATCTAATCTTGTCAGCGCACTATCCTAATCTACTACTATCCTAATCTCCTACTCTACTACTATCCTACTATCGTAATATCGCAATCTACTACTCTCCAGCGATTTCAATCGATACGTATCTAATCTTGTCAGCGCAATCTCCTACTCTACTACTATCCTAATCTACTACTCCTAATCTCCCCGTCAATACATATGTTTTTCATTGTCGCGTACTATCCTAATCTCCGGAGTCGCGAACTATGAACGCGGCCTTGTGAGGTCGACTGTAGTACGACGGAGAGACACTAGCCACAGGAATAACGCGAGAGAATATGTCGTACGCCATATTTTGCCATCATTTTGGAAGAGCATTTCATGTTGAGCGGCCGTATCTTTGAGTTTTCTGGGAAAATACGTTATCAATAAAAGCGCGGTGATTGTTGGCATGATACGGGATAAACTAATGCATCGCTCGGGATAAACTCATGCACCCAGTCTTGGCTTAGTCTGTTTTCAAATCGAGGGGTAATAAGGTTCCCATTTAGCAGTTTTCGACCCGTTTCTCTTGGATTTTTCTTGACCTGTATACAATGAACCGGCCTCTTTTTGCTGGCTACATAAAGTACGCATTTTGTGACAGCCCGCCTGCTCAGCTATGGCCGTTCTGTGATGCGGGTGAGCGTTGCTGATACTACTCTCCATGGGCTGTACATAGACTTTCCGTTGAGCTGCCCTGTGATTCCAATCCTTCTGAAAACTCACTAGGACCGTCTGAAGGCTAGACCCTCCAAAAAAAAGTCAACCAGAAGATGGGCGACCGCACGCTTTTTCAGCTGGACTTTTACGCTGCCCTAAAACTAACAATGATGGCCTAGTTGAATAACGAATGAAGCAGAGGAATCTTTCTCCACTCATCGCAGTGAGCACTTCGCTTCTGCTCATCAAGATAAAGGAAATTCGTTCTTCCTCCTTCACTTGTTTTGTATCGAATTTGATTACACTATTGCTCGGTCCTCTTCTGGCCAGTCATTCTCATCCTCCTCATGATCCCACTCCAAGTTCTCCTAGTCTCTATGGAACAACGATTCTGGCTCTGAAACTCTTAACTACATAGTCCATAATTTTCAGATGATTCGACGGTGACGGGAGTGATGCTACCGCTATGCATTTCCATAGCAATCGTCTGCGCTGTTTCGAGTACCGTCTACAACATCGGTGAGCAGCCATTTTCCTACACTTTGCAATTGAAGGAGAATTCTACGATAAGGTCGAAGAAAGTTCTCAAAGCAAAGGGGGAACTCACCCAAAGCAGAAGAGGCGGCTCCTCACAAATGCTGGCCGACACGCATTTCGCAGCGAAGAATAGGTCCCGACGACTTAGAATGAGCTCCCGCGCCCCTATTTGCGCGGCACGCCCACTGACTAGCTAACCATTCGCCGCAGATCTCTGTACTTTGGCAGAGAGAGCGTTAGCGCTAAAGAGAACGGCACTGATAGGAGTGCATCGATGCGGAAATCAACGGGTTTCTCTCTATCCTGGTACCACTGGCCACCTCAAAGTAATTCTGTTTGAACTGCCCTTTAAGCGTACCCATCTTGGCTTTTAAAAGGTCTTCTGAATTGTGTGAATTCTGCGTCTAAAAATGTAAGTTATGCGATGGTGAATCCACCAATGATGAAAGAGAGCGAAGAAATTACAAGAAACCTTCACAAGTGCGTTGTGCGCATCGATTACATAGGCAGGGTGTGTGCTCCTTCCCAAGAAAACCTCCATCCTTTCAGACCGGTTTTATACTTTTGGCGAATATCGTGAGTCGACGTGCCCAAAGTTTGGCACTCAATCACTGGGACTAGCTTGCACATAGTTTCGTACTTCTACTAAATTGCTAGGCGCAAAGGCACCACCGCAATTAACACTATCCGTGGATTCGCTAGGACTTACGCTCGCTCGCAAGTCCCGACTCGACCTAGTGTACCTTATCGTGTCACACCATGAGGCCCCCGCCCTTTGAAGGATGGCCCGCCAAAAAGCTGCCCGTGCAAATAGTGCGCTATGTTACTCAACCCTTTGACTACTGGTGGGACACATGTGTCCCACTTTGTAGTCAAAGACACTACCACAGTTTTGGCACTTATAGAGATCGTAGAGCCCGTTTGATAGGGAAATTATGCACGAATAGAAACTTTATGATTCTTACTGTGACACCAAATTGTCACAAGTCAGAACGAGTTACTTTGGATAGTTTAGTAAGCAAGTGGTACCACAGGTCACTGGACAGTGTGCGCAGCTCCCAAAAAGGTAATTTTTGAGTCTCACACTCTTCATCCTTGCGCTAATGGTTCTAGTGTTTCCCTTAATTATTGTATCACGTGAAACGTAAGCAAACTGATGACGGACAGAGGCATTTTATCGGCCGCAATCCAGTCAGAGGACGACGCAGCCTACTACGACTGCGTTGGAAATTCTAACCTCCAGAGTTCTGTCAGTTTGGATGGTGAGGAAGTGATAATGGAAGACCCCTATGGTGACGCAGATTTTGAGCATGAAATCCAACGAAAATTCGTCAGAGAAGAAGCAGTCGGTGGGCGCATCCTACAGGCAGTAGAGCAGCACTTCTACAAAATGCGGCTTGCAATTCTTTTCAAGTGCGTTCCCAACAGGACACTGGCTTATTGCACGATTGAGCTGTGAGAGTGTGCACTTGTCGAATGGTAACTGAATTACCAGTTGATGTTTCAAAAATGCTCATCCGAGCGGAAATGGTGTAATGGCAAGAGGGGCCGCTACCGCGCGCGTGGTCCCTAGATCAAATCCCAGGTCACACCCAACGTACATCAGCCAAATTTCTACAGCTGGTTGCCTGTTGCTGGGAGGGATAATTGCAACGCAGAACACATTTATAACTCGATTCTAAAAAAAGTCGTAGTCTAAAGCAGGGTGAATATCGGTCGAGGAAATCCTCGACAGGGGGGTCGTACCTGTTGGGCTGGTCCATGGGGGGTCGTACTCTTGGGGTCAGTAACAGAAGTGGTATCATGGTGCAGATAGGTAATAGGGTATAGCGCAGCAGAAAATGAAAACATCCGAAAAAAACATGATATTAAATTTTCTTTGCAGGTTCAGTCGCTCCATTCCTCCACCTTCATGAGAAGGGCGTATTTGAAGGCAGTACAAAGAAAGTGCATCCCCGCAAAGAAGAGTGCCACATGTGCGCACGCGCTGCAAAGGCACCTCCTCCGCCTATCACTCGCTCCTTCTCCCTTAATACCTCGCTGAGAATGACGCTGTTGTTAGGGACCCTGTCGGAAAAACGACAACCGTGAAGAAAAAGCGCTGGGCAAATGAAGTTGTTTTTTAGGTTACAGGAATAGCACAACACACTATGTCTACTACAATACAGTTTCGTTCGAAGGTCCCCATCATATAACACCTTTCAATCGATTCTGCAACTGTGAGTGGAGGAGGGATGCATGGCTTATACCAATACCAAATCGGATGATGACGATTGCTCCTATTCTTATTGTTTGCGTTCAAAGATATTGTTCTAGACACATTCCGAGTGTTGCCAACGAGTCACACTTGCAATGGTGAATGAGGGAGCGGATTTCCAGGTGGCCGGATCCGTCCTCGATAGATCCTCGACGCAATTATCTCTTCAACCAAAAAGCTGTAGAAGAAAACTAAACAGACCATCAGGAAGCGCAAACCTTCCGCTTTCCAAAACTATCTTCCCTTTTTCAGGATCTTACAATATAAGAGAGATATTGCTCTTGAAGTGGCAAAAACTCGCGTGAAAATTTCAGCGTCCTCGACATTTACTCGACGAAATTTGAGAGACCCTATCTTTCTGCATGGAAGGCTTTCAGAGCAATTTCAATACTTGTTGGAAACGCGAAATCCAGCTCTATCTAACCCTACCTCAAGCTGCTTCAAAGGTTGTGAAATGGAGGAATGCAACCTTTTCATCGAGGGTGTAGATTCGGACGTTTTTTTTTGAAATTTCGGCAAATCTGACCCAGTGACAATCGCGCCGCAGCTGCCGTTGAATCGGCCTTTGATACACTCGGCTGTTTTGATATACTCAAGCAAGAATCAAGATTGAATCGCAACCCCGTGTCTTCAGGATTTCTGTGCGTTTCTGAACGAACCTCGCCTTGAGGTCACACAAAGTTAATGCCTCTTTCCTCGAGTCGATATTTCAGTATGTACACAAAAGTATGCAGCGATGGAAGACGTGCATAGATGACAAGATGAAGCGTCCTTAGCATTATTTTGCAGAATTTTTTTTGATTTGTTTTGCAGGATTTATTTTAATTGAATTAATTTGCTCTGTTAGAGGGGGTCGTGCCAGGATCTCGATTTCGGGGGGGGGGGGTCGTACCTCTGCGACCACGTACTCGACACGATTTTCACCCTGGTCTGCAGGGTAAGGATTTCAGCAGCGTTTTGCTCTCTTCAATCACTCGCGAAACCAGATACCACAACAACGCCTCTTTTTGAACTTCAAAAGTCCTATCTAATCAATCAATTCCTTTAAACGAGTAATAGAGCGCTCGCTCACAGAGCACATGTCTGCGATATTATCAGCAGCCTTCTAAAAAGGGAATATCAGACTTTTACATTCTTAGTAGCTGTCTCAAACCAAATTCGACAGTGCAAGAAGAGATTAATTTGAAGCTCCAATTCGTAATTCTTCGCCTTTCATTTTCGTGTTAGTTATGAATTATTTTCAGGAACGACAGCCTCCAAAGGTTCACTAGCTTACGAGAATATCCGCTACGGAATCGAGAGATGGAACAACGATAACCTCGCGCACACCGAGATCACTTTGCACATTGTCGCCACTGAACTCTACCATGCCGGTTTTGAAGAACGAAGTATGAGCGTTTTCGTTGTGAACTCCGTTTAGAACTTATAGAAGAGACAAGTTGTTGTCACCGATCAAATATTGAACCACTGCTTCAGTTGCTTTTGGTTTCATTTCTATGGGTAAGCTCTCAGCACCAGGGTTGTCCAGATCCTAATGTGTACATTAGCTGATGCGAACGACTTATAGTACGCTGAACGATTTTAGCAGCTAATATCACAGAGCGAGGGAAAGGGCTCCCATAAACAAGAATATTTGATCAACAAAAGCGCTTTAGCGGCTGCCCTTTGACGCTTTCCCACCACTGCAATGTTCCTAGTCGAATACGTGCCAAATCCGCCTCTCAGCCAGTGCGAACGCTGCCTTTAAATCCGGAGTTTCAAAGTTACCCATATAACGTCGAAAGAAGCTTTGGGACAGGACAGTGCCCTAACCATGCTGACTGTATTATGTATGTAGTAGACTGCGTTCCATATCAGCGGATGAAACAACAAGCATATTGATGGATAAAGAGACCATAATTTCGTTTCCGTAATAACTTCTTAAAGGAATTTCCACGGACCATGGACCAGTGGGCGGGACCGGAAGTTTTTGTGACGAAATGCATGGTAGGTACGGATCCACGTGTCGAACGCACGAATGTGAACAGGATTCACTTCAAACCTTCCCATGAACGTGGATCCGTACCTACCATGCATTTCGTCGCAAAACCACTTCCGGTCCCGCCCACTGGTCCATGGTCCGTGGAAGATTCCTTCAAGCCAAAAAAGAAAAAAGGGGAGCTGAAAAGACCAGGATGGTTTATGAGCTTGATTCTGTTGGTTGAGTCCATTGACGAAAAGCAAGTGTGTGTCCACATAAGCGCAGCACAACGTCGCCAAGTAGACGAATGTGTCTATTTTAGTGTGCGACGTCATGCAGCACAACGTCGTCGCCGTCCTCATTCCATCGTCCGAAGGTCTTCTTGACGATCCGCTGATCAAATCGATGTGCCATCACTTTCAGGTTCGTCTCACCTCGCCTTTAACAGTTTTCTACCTTTGGGGGAAGGTGCTCCATTCAAGATTCAACAGTCAGCGGGAACTTAGAAATATTCACCCTCCCTTCAACATCTCTGATTTGCCCGAGAGTCTTCCTTCTAAACCCACTTCATCATGTTTCGTTTCGAAGGGAGCACAAACATCGTTTTTCTGATTGGTACGGGTTTTAGTATAAATTACTTCTATAAGTGAAGAAAGAACTCCCGGGAGCTGAATATTCAGAAACTGCACTGTAACCATTGACGATTTTCAGATACCCTGCCTCTCATTAAAAATGGGCAATCCAGTGGAATTTGGTAAGTGTCTAGAAAGCGTTTCACCCTCTTGCTATAGTAGTTTTTCTAAATTAGCCCAGTTTCAGTGTCAGATTTCGTGACGAGTGTCGGTCCACGACGAGGTTTGGGAGCCCAGGCTACCAGCGAGTTTCTCGAAAACCTGCGATGGACTTCATTTTTGCTCGCCTATCAGCAGGATACAGGTGCATATTCCACCTGATTTTTTTCTGGAGAGGTCTAGAGGGACGTGGAGGTGTTCAATGGTACACCAGTTGCGAAAGATAGCAGGAAAACCCGTAAAGAAGATGCTAAATGGCCCCTTCCCTTGTTTGGCCGTTGATTTCCGCTCGGGATGGACGGGCAACGGGTCAGACAGCGGACCTATGAACGAAGTTACCGCAGCGCGTTTGATGGTACCATGCCTATTCGTGTCCACAATGCTCGTCCAAATCCAGCCAGCACACTAGTGGATGGAAAAGCTTTTGGAGCGAAACGCTTTCCAACTGCAACAAACGTGCATGTTCCCCCAATCTGAGCGGGTCCCCGCGAACCTTTAAGTGAACGTGCAGTGACCTATATTTCTAACAATTGTGCTTAGCGTACTGCTGTGCATCTCGACTAATGTACCTGTGGACAGTTGTGCCTCTCCATAGGTTTATTTTGGTGTAATCATAAAGTAAGTTCCTAAAGTGAAGCACTAGCCTACTTCATTAGCTAGGTGATGGCATTTGTTGATTTGCTAGTCTCATGAGGCTCACTAGTTCCATTTCGTTACGATCACATTCAGATCTCGAAGAGTTGGCACCGCTAATTCACGACCGGCGATCTTCGCACAACGGTGGTCTGCGAGCTTCTGTCAAAGTCCGAAAACTGCCGAACAACACCGATGATTACGAGCCGTTTCTCAAATACGTGCGGAATCATCTTCGTCAGACAAACATCGTAGGTGACATTGTCAGCTGTTACAGTACGGTGGTGCTGCCATTTCAAGTACTTGATTGAGTTCCCATGTTAACGTGAAAATCACAACGGTATCTTTCCGTTATTTCCCTCGTCTTACTGCTTTCTTAATATTACTTCATAAGGTGCACCAGCTAGGGAGGCGGGCGCGATCACATTTGCATTGGAGCGCACAGGCCGGGCAACTCGTCCGCATCACTCAACTACATTTTCCAGCAGTTAATCGATCTGATAAGTTGGATCTCAGAAATCTCGCTGAGCCTCAAAGATCTGGAAAAAAGAGCGGATCGCTTGTATTGGCCTAAAGCGAGACGCAAGAGGAGCGGCATGGAATGTGGGTGCGCGGACGAGCTGTCCAGCCACAGCAGGCTGTGATATTAATGGCTTGTGCCCTCCAATGCCAACAGGATCGTGCCATATGACGCACACCCGGCTTGCTATAACCACTTGGCGGCGAACGCTACTGTGCGTACAATACAGTTCTGTAGCGAGCATGCATCAAAGGTCTCAAAATTAGGCTCGTACACCACAAAATGTTTACGGCCGCTCTTCAAGCTGCACTAGTATGATTCTGTCCGCTTCTTCTCGGTCTACGTGCTGTCCCCAGACCTATTACAACTTCAGATTTTAGCTCCGCCCACCACGTGCGTGCCCCGCCCCCATCTCTCGGAAAGGAGAGCGTGGCACCCAATGGTGCTGCAATGCCCCCGAAGATTTAACTTGGTAATGCAAGGCATGAGTTGTTCAGCGTAACGGTTTCCGGCGCTCTCTGAAGGAATCTCAGTGTAACTACTTTTAGCGCAGAAATCTGATGAATGATCAAGATTTTCATGCTGATCACTCACCATTTCTACGCCAAGCTTAGAAGCGGAGCTTACCCTAAAAAGGCAGTCCTTAGCCGAGGGCGTCCATAGCCTAGCCCATAAGCTCATCTGCTTGAGCGCTGCGAACGTTGATCACTGAAGGTAAGTAGTACTGTGCTTCCTCTATAGCTTTTGTGCATGAATATGCAACTCCAGGTAGCTTTGCCCAAACCAACCAAACCTTTCATCCTTCCAGTTACGCTTAAAAGATTTGCCCTGGAGAACAGAATACTGACTTGCCCATTGGAGCCCCTGCCCCCTCCAAGTTGTTGTATACGTCAAAAGGCATTTAAAATGCAATTACGATTATGCATGGAGGTCAAAAGCGCGACACATCCCAGAAAGGGACTGATCAATCCTACGTGCGTTCCCTTCTTATCATTTCACGGTGAGCCTAATCGCTTCAGATAGAACCTACGAATCGTGTTTCTTTTTGGCTGAACTGCAGGACTGGCAGGTCTTTCCTCAGTTCCCATATGTATGTCCAATGTCAAGTTTCTTATACCAAGCAGATGGTTTTTCAGGTCATCCATTCCAACAACATTACTGTAATCTATGCGCTTCTACAACAGGCAAAAGGAATGAATATGACCGAACCGCCATTCTCCTATATTTTCACGAATACGGTAAGTCCGTTGTACATCGGCTATTCCTTCCGCATAGCGAATTTGCGGTCCCTTTGCAGGACTTGTCATTACTGGAGGATTTTCTTAACAATGCTTATGGCGCATTTCACTGCAATATAACCGGACTACAACTGGTTAAAAACGATCCGATGATGAAGGTTGGTCCTACACTATATTTTGTATCATACACCCACAAGACTTAAATTGTTTAGACTTCCTTGGCGCTTATCTCGGAGGCGGTCTGGGTGATTGGGACGGCGCTGTACAAAATGAAAGAGGTATTATTTCGAATTCGTTTGCAAAAGTACTGCTTTTCATTTCCGCTTCATGAGAATGACTACCCGAGATGTTTCATAATTTTTGTGGCATTATCATGGCTTAGATTCTATTTATTCTTTTCAACTTCTGACTGAACTAAATTCCATGACTTTGCTATTTAGTGGTAAGGAGCGGGGCTCAGAAAAAAGTTGTCACTCAGGAAAAAGTGGGCGGAGCTATCTGGGGCGGGGCTTAGCTATGTATGTTTGTATGTATGTGTCGATGTTCATGTGTATGTACTTATGAAGTAGGCGGAGTCACTTGGTGAGCGGATCTTCTCGGGAAAGCCGCTTCGCGGTTGGATGTGATACGGGGAGCAACAGGGTTCACTTTTCACTTTTTGCCCCACCCCTCAAGAACTGAGAAGTACTAAGGCCGATGTCATAGTTTCGCGAATCGCTGGATCCGAGCGTTGCGCCAGCGAATCGAACGTTGCACCAGCGAATCGAACGATGTACCAGCGAGTCGAACTAGGTACCAGCGACTCAATAGTGGCGGGACCCAACGTTCAAAGGAAGCCCGCCACTTTCAAACAGTGTCCACTGTCAAGTCCCGCCACTTTCAAAAGGGTCCACTGTCACGTGACACTGTTTGAAAGTGGCGGGCTTCAAAAGGGA